AAAAAGTAAGATTGGCAAGCTTTAATTTAGGGGCACAAAACAGATGAAAAGTGTTTTGGGGGGTAACTGTGGATAATTTGGAATGTGAAAACTGCCCTGTATTCACAGCTCACACAAGGAGTAAGGCACAATGATGGCAAACGGTTTATGCCTATCTGCCCATTCTGTGGGAAACTGCACTGGTTAATTTTCATAATAACAAAGCTTGAATGAAAAAAAACATACTTTCTTCAATGTGAAATAGTGGTGTAAAGTGAAGGTGGCGCAATCATTTTAAAGCTGTCAGCGGCAGTGTTTGCAGCCTGTCCTTGCAGACAGGTAGGAATAAAGACCTTTTGTCATCATAGTAGGAGTACAGGAAGTATGGCAAAGAGGAAAGCCATTTTCTCAGCAATAAAGATTGGTAAATGCTGATGCGACGTACAATTAAAAAAAAAATAAATCCTTCTACTTTGCTCTGGCCTACGGTCTCCCTTCAAAGCAAGCCCTTCCCTCTGCTCATGAAGCCTCCCTCTCCCCTTTCCTCTTCCCTAACCCTTTCCCCTCAGAAGGTCTCGCCTTACTTACCCTCCCCTTCCCCCTCCCTGCTTCCATCCCCGTCTGTCCTCATGAAGCTTCCCCTTACCCAAGTCCCCTGCTCCTCTCCAGTCCCACTGCTGGGGCACAAAGGGACTTCACCCTCAGCGAGTGGCCACAGAGATGCATCTGAGCAACAACACGATCGACTGCAATGTGAGATGTGCCTCCTCTTTTCTTCGCTTTTTGGTCTACTAAAAATCTTGGATTTCTTTTTATTTATATTGTTTTGGACTTAAACATCTTGAATCTGAAGATTTCTGAAAAATTTCAGCCAACACCTCTGTGAGTACGCCCCTCACCTGTTGCCTCCTTCTGAAACACGCGTTAGTGTGAAGGACCGCCTCATTCTGGTTTCGCGTCTCTAACTTCTCTGGCGTAGCTCTTCTCCTTTCTCTCAGTGTGGTTTCCTCAGATACACATTTCAATTTTACTAAATCTCTCTTTGGCTATGTCTATTCTGCTATTTAACCTGTTTATTGAACTTTTAATTAAAATGACGATAGGTGTTTCATTTCTAAAAAATCTATTTGGTACTTTTTAAAATCTACCCTCCTTTCTTTGTTAAATAGCACTTTGTTCTTTTCAGAGATTTGATTCATTCTATTATATTTTAATTTATTTAACATACTTTAACACTCTCCACACTACTGTCTCACATGCTGAAGGCTCTAATTTTGCTGCTGATTGTGATTACTGAATTCCACTCACTGTCTGTAGTTTCCTTGTATGTTTTGTCATTTTTGATTATGATCACATGTTTAGTGGGGCTTGTTTCCTCTCTGAGAATCTCTTGTGGCTTCATTGTGAAAGTCCTTCTAGGCCAGTTTTGCAACCAATTTTATGGTCCTATCCTGGCTGGGGGATACTAGGGTAATGTCAATTCAAGCTCCGCCTCCGCCTGAAGAGCAGGCCTGGGATTGTGAGTTATCAGGGAATATTTTTTTTTCACCCAGGGCCTAGAGCAGGCTAATTTCCTTTCAACAGCCTGTGCCAGTGAGTGAGTTTTTTCTAGTGTATCCTCTCACATGAGGGGCTTGGAACTAACTATTGACTTTAGGCTATGTTCTCAGTTCCAATATCCTTCTCGAGAGGCTTCCAGGTCTTGTTTTCTGCCCAAAGCAGGACAGAAAGTGGGGGACTGGAAGTGCCCTTCTCAGGCGGCAGCCCCAGCATCGGCTCAGACACTTATGGCTCCGTTTTCAGTTCCTTTCTAGTTCTTGGCCCCTGGGAACTGCTGCCCTTCTGTTTAAAGATCAGTCTTGCATAAAAAAAGTTGTTCTGTTTGAACAATCCTAGGGACTTTAGGCCATCTTAATCCACCACATTTCCAGAAAGAGAAATCACCACTAATAAAATAGGGTGACTGTAGCTATGGTCCTCTCTTGGTTTTTTCTGCTTATCAGTGGTGACTGGGTTGCAAGCCGAGGCTGCTGGTGTTTTAAAAATCATGTTTTGTACCCTCCGATGCTATTCATATATATCGTGTATGTGCATCCATGTGGTCGGGTCTAGATGCCAGTCCACGGCAAGAGCCTGGAAGTGTGAGGGTGACCTCCCCACAGCCTCTACTGTCCCCATAGAAGGGGGCAGTATTCTCCAGTAATCAGTCAGAGCATGAGCTTTGGCCTTGCACCCCAGCTCTGTCACCAACCTAGCTGTGAGATCTTGGGTTAATTAGTTTATGAACTTCAATCTGGTATTAAATTGGGCCAGTAACACCTGCCTTACCTGATCAGAGTGAGGATTCAGTGAGACGCTTGCAGTGTTTACGGTGGGCACGTAGTACCTGCTGCCGACAGACACTAAGCATTCCTGTCATCATCCCCCCACGTCCATTAGGACTAAAAACAGTGATAAAACATTTCTACACTCACCAGCCCCTCAGTTCTAGAGTCCACTCTCCTTTTGTTTCCCTGTCATTTTTCCAAGGAAGGAGTCATCAAAGGTGAGTCAATGTGGGAGGATGAGGAGGCCCAGGCTTCCAGTGTAGAGCCCTGGGTCCAGATGAGCTCTGCTCTTGCTGGCCTTGGGCATGTGACAGCTCTCCAAGACTCATTTTCCTCTGCTGTAAAATGGGGACATTAACCACTTACATGTGGGTGATTGTGAAGGAAAAGTGAAAGAGTTGCCCATGCAGCCATCAGATTTTCAGTAAGTCTGGATCCAACCACAAAAGCCCTCTGCCAGCAGGGCCCGTGCATTCCTTCACGCGTGCACAGCACCGGCTCAGCAAACGCTTGCGGAACCCAGGGAAGGAGGAATGAGACCCAGGTATAGTAGAGTAGGAACCTGTGGCCAAGCCTGCAGGGCATGACTCCATGTGGCCACAGGAAGTCAGAGCCGCAGTGTTTATGTTTTAGTGGTCATGGTTTTGCTGAGTGTGTGTGTGTCGAAGAATGGGGACATTGTCTCCGTCTTCTTTATCTTTCCACAGTGCAGAGCAGGCCGTGCACAAAGAACCTGTCAGTGATGCTGAATTTCTGATTCAAGGACCTCCCAGCGGTGGGTGGAAAAGCCCAGCCCAGAGGAATGCTGAATCACTGCTCAGCTGATAATGGGAGCTGTCAAAGGGCGCGGAGCCCAAGACGGAACTGGCTTGATTCCCTTCCTACTTTGCATAAGGACCTGGAGCTTGACATTTCCATTTGAATAGGAGGGGAAATACAGAGATATGAGGGTAAAACAATACTTCTTCCTTGAGTGGCTCAAGAGTTTCACTTGGGCAGCGGATGAAACTGTTCACAGGAAGCCAGGACAGACGCGTGTGGACACTGGTTGGAGCTGTATAAACAGTTTGCAGTGGCGGTTGGTCGCTCCGCTTCTCCAGCTTTGCTGTGTTTGTGTCCATCCACCACCTGTCCACATTTCCTCCTCTTCCTCGTAACAGCCCCGTGCCGCGGCGCTGTGCCAGGTGCTCTGCCTGGCAGTCAGCCCCCACCCCGCTTCTCCGCACCAGAGGTAATAACGTGCCCGTTTTTACAGATGGGAAGCTGAGGCTGGAGGAACTAAGGGGTGTACCCAAGGAAGAGACCTCAACATCTGGGGGGAGCTTGGCTTCGAAGATGGCTCTGTCCGTGGTGGCCGTGGTGGCTTCCTGTTCACTGTGTCCTGCTCGCATAGAGCCCTCAGGAGATCCATGCTCCAGGCCCTCCTCCACCTGCAACTGACAAACTCAGGAGCTTAGGGGCAGCGCCTGCTCCCTTGTGCTTGGTCTCTTCATCTCTGAAGTGAGGGTTTAATCAGCTGAGCTCTTCCAGCTCAGCTCCCACTTCTATGATCCTCTTGAGTTTTAGGGGAACACAGGTTTCTGCCCAACCATCACCTGTGTCTCTTCCCCTCACACACCCATCCCTGAAAGTCTCATGACAATAAGTAACATGGAAAGGTGACACAGGGAACTCCACATTTATTAAGGGCTGATTTTGCACCACAGCTGTGCTGGACACTGTTAGCCAAAGTTCCTGATTTTCATTAGGCCTGAAACGAATTTCCTTTGGATTAACTACTGGTATTCATAAACCCTTCCTCACTTGTATAATTGCTATCTTTCCACTCCTCTATGTCTGGACTGCTTTTCTTCCCCCAGAGAACTCAAGCAAGAATGGTTTCCTTTTGGTGGCACCCTACGAACACCCTACTACGTCGATTTTTTAGTAAAGAGCTGGAGAGAAGAAGGCTGGGTGGGAAGGCTGGCTTGAAAAGATGGCCGTGGACGGTTCTCTCTTCTGACTGCTCATTAATCTGGAGCATTTTGGGGACCTCTAGGGCTGTGAAACCTTGACTCTTTTTGTGGACAGGGTCAAAAGATCTTTTCTGCTTCTAAGACTCCTCAGCAACCTTTTGCTATGCCGTTGAGTGTCCTGCTCAATAACCACTTTTATTTATTTATTTATTTAATTTTTTTTACATTAACCGTTCCTTACGCAGCTCCTACACCAAAGATACCAAGTTTAAGGGCAGGAAAAGCCTGCAAAGCATTTAATTGATGCCTTTTTTGACACCATATCCACTAGTTTCAAAAGTGAATGGGCAACGCAAAGGCTAGATAACCACTTTTAATGCTTAATTCAGGGTCAGAGCTCCGTGGATGACTCATTTTCTCCACAAGAACTTGGGGTCCAGAAGTGTCTACGAAGACTTTGCCCTTGGTCTGCAAATGCTTTAAAGCACACCTGGCGATTCAAAACCTCGTCCCGTGTGATTTCACTGACTTAAACCTTGTTAAAAAGCCTTAGAGACCAGACTTTAAGAAAACTACAGGGAATTGTTTGAAGACTCCCACCTGCTCTTGGCACTCCTAGGTGGTGGCGTGGGCCCTGCAGCCTTCCGAGTTCGCACGTTATTGAAACGCAGAGGCTGCCGGGCTCTCAGGAAGACCTAAGGAGTGGTAAACTCCCCGGCCTGAAGAGTTCAGTTAAATTCCCATCGCGTCAACAGATTAAGCAAAATCTTGCATTATGGAAAGTAAAGCTACTTGCTATATCCGGTAAACTCCAAAGTTTGAGCGGCTCTACCCAGTAGAAGTTGCTTTCTCACGCGAAGTCCAGGGTTGGCAGGGGAAGGGCTGGAAGGAGGGGGTTTCCTCATGGCAGGTCAGGAACCGGGCCCAGGGAGGCTCTGGCATGTGGCCTGGTCCTGTGTACCGATACCCAGCCTGGGGAATGAGGGAGAGGGGCCATGTTTCAGGAGGGTGCGGGGCCAGTCACAGGGCCCGCTCTTGGTGGTGCAAACTCGCATGGCTTCATCCAGCTGCAAGGAGCCTGGGACGTGGGGCGGTGGAGTCCCTGGGCACGCGCTTCCTGGCCCCAGCTCTGCATGCTGGAGAAGAAAACTCTCCCCCCGCCCCTTCTTGGCCCCACTCCCAGGTTCCTGGCCTGGGTCCTCACTGCTGGGAAGAGGGACTCTACGGGGTCTCGGGGCTCCCAGCCCAGGTGCCCACTCAGGAAGGCGGTGAGGGGAGGTGCCCACCTGCCCCTCCACCACCAGGGTGTTGCCATGTTAGCAGCTCAGGGACTAGGGTAGGACAAGGGAGGCTCTGGGCTCAGGTGCAAAAGTCCAGGGGTCCAGGGGGACTCGCAGTCTAGAAGGGAGGGTTACACCGGACACGGGGACTGAAGTGGGAGCCAGAAACACAGCGGAGACAAACGGACCCGAGAGGGTGCCCAAAGCCTCCCGTCAGGACAGATGGCATTCCATGCAGCGCTAAACAGTCAGGCTCGAGAGCCAAGGCCGCCAGTCTGGCTGCGGCTGAGCACAGGGCAGAAACAGCTGCTCAGTCACTTCTGTCCCTTGTCCTGCTGTCCCTCCGGCCTTCCTGTGTCTGCACCCCCAGAGCGTGGAGCTGGGCCGGCAGCAACCTGGGCGGCAGATGCAGCTCTCGGACGGCTCCTGGTCCCAGAGGTGTGACCGTGAGTTGGGCTCCATCTGCAACAGCTATTTTTGTTGCTCCCTTTCCACATCCTTCCACGATCTTTCCAGGGTGTGGATTAACTTGGAGAGCTGCAGCCCCACGTGGACGGCGTGGCCTTCCCTGTCCCCAGCGCCAGCTCTTGGCCCTGCCGGCTCAGCCTTTCAGTCACGAGACCAAAAACACACAGAGCCCGACTTTGCTTGGCAACGTCCCGGCAGTGACGCTGTTCTGGTCCCAACTCCCTTCTGCGGAGAGGACCGGGACCCCGTGGCCCCACCCTGTGGACACCTCAGGAGCTCCACTTATGTGGGGGACCTGGGCCAGGGCTGCCGGAGAGAAGTCTGGACCCAGGAGGGGGCTGCTCCTTCTTTGAACTCGAATTATTATAAAAACCTCCATCCGGCAGCAGACCTGACCCTGTAGCCGAGTCAGCTTCTTGCTCAGGGCTGTGGCTGGACAAGAATCAGCGTGAGCGACTGGAAGCCTAAGGCCACAGGCCACAGGCGGCCGGAACCTAGGAACAGGACTGGTCTACGGGACAAACAGCCCCTGGGGTAGAGACAAACGCAGGCACAGCACGGCGGTGTGCGGGTGGGCACAGGAGAAAATCCCACTGAAGATGAGCTCAGAGATGAAAACACAAAACCTGCAAGGAAACCCAATGACGTCACAGTCGGCAGACATCACAAAGACACACCCAGGAAACCAGGGTCACAGTGAAGTTTGCGCGACTGCGCGCGAGAGCACATTTGAGTGTGGAGACGGAGGAGGGGGGATGGGGTCCGCAGGGCACAAAAGGAGCACTGTGGAAAAGAGAGATTCCAGAAATGAAAGATGCCCGCAAAGTGCCAGTGTGGCAGGTGGACCGTACGTAGCCCGGCTGCAGTGAGCCGCGGGGCCTTCCAGGAACGCACCTGCGCTGCGCGCGCCGGGAGGCACGGCGGGGAGACGCGGGCGCCGCGCTCTGGGCACGCAGGCGTCTGCGCCGCGCGTGTGGCCATCTCTGGGCCGATGACCGCCTCGCTGGAGTCACGGAGGGACGGGATTTGTGTCCGCTCTTCCGAGCCAGGGACAGGGCGCTTGGGGCGAGATCTTCCACCGCCTCGTCTGTTCCTTGCCAGGGTGGGCGGCACACGCTGGGATCTGAGACTCTGTCCCGTCCCCGGGCTCACCGCACATCCGAGGGTGCACGGGGTGGGGGGGGCGCGTCGGGGCGGCTGTGAGGGCCTGGGGCCCGGGCGCTGCGCGGCCCCGTGTTGGGCAGACGGCAAACCGGTCGCCGTCCAGTCGGTGGAAGAACCGATGGAACGGTCACCCCCCCATCTGGTCGCCAGCGCTTCCCGCGCCGCGCGGCTGCACGGTGCCCCGGATGGCGCCGTGTCTGCTGCTCCCCCTCGCGGAGAGGAACAGCGACACACTCTTCCCAGAGCGAGTCCCCTGTCGGCGCGGCCGGGCTGTGCGAGGGAGCGCGGGGCCGCGCGGGGTCGGTGCGCTTGCGCGCGCGAGTCCACCGGGCGGGCGGGGGCGGGAGGCTCTTCCGCGGCTGCGCCGTTGACCACACACGGGCTTCGCGGATTTCCTTCCTTTTTCCATTTGCTCCCACGTCGCGTCTGCCCCAGCATGCTTTGATTAAAAAGAAAATGAAAAGAACAAGAAAATCTTCCAACTTTGGTTTTTCTAATTTTAAAAGGTAACACTTGCTCGGTGTGGATGTTAGTCAAATAGAACATTTAAATATAACATTAACTATTAGTAAATACAACATTTAAAGTACAAACAAGTGCACTAATGTCACCCCGAACCCACTGAGGTAGGCTGCACCGGTGGCCCCTGCCGGGGCCAAGGGAAAACCTCGCCTTCGCCCTCTGGGGCTTTGGAAACATCAGCTGAGCGGGCCAGGCAGCAGGATCCCAGCGTGCCCGCCCCGCGTCCTCACAGGGGAAAGGGGAGAGATGCGGGCAATTTTAGAGGGGTAGTAGATGATTTTTAGGGGGATTCAATGGGCTTGAAGAATGTACAACGACCTGGGACAAAGTCTGTCGGGCCCAGGGAGCAGCTAAGTGTCTGGCGGAGTCTGCCTGGCAATGTTGACAGACTTGAGTCTTTCTCCCTGGAGGATGAGTTCAGTTAATGGAAACTCAGGGAAGGAACCAGAGCGGATCGTTTTCTTCCTGGCAGGTCCAGATTTTAGGCAGATAAGGAACTTCAGGCACAACTTCACCCTCTGCTTCGGCAGACCCAGGGTTGAGAGGCGGGTGGGAGGGCAGGAAAGCCCAGACAGAGCTCCCCTTGCAGCTGCTTTTTCAGTTCAGCGTGTCAAAGCGCCATATTTCGGGGGTATCAGTTTCTGGGCCCCAGCATTCCCCTGCCTCAACTTCCCTAGAAGTTTTACACGCTGAAAGCTGAGCTGGAAGCTGTGGAGAGAAAAATCAAGTTAATGGCGTGGTGGCGAAGGATCCCACTAAACCAGTCTCCGGTTGCTGGGAATAAGCCCGTCCAAGTAAGCAGCTGCATCTCATTGCAGGAGATGGCGTTGCACACGGGTTCCCAGACCGAGGGAACAAAAGCTAACCCGTCTCCTCAGACTGCGGACGGCAGTCACTTGAGGTGTCTAGATGTCAGACGCAAAGCATCTCAAGTTAAAGCGGAAAGAGGAAGTGGCCGTGTGACAGATTGTTTTCATCTGCTGTTTGCACACCACAAGGTTGTTCGCACCTGAGCTTTGGCTCGCAGGGCCCCAGGAAAAAGGTGGTAGCAATTTCCTTGAGTCTGAGTCAGAAAAATGGAACAAAAAATCCGAAACATTAGTTTGGAGACTTGTAGCCAGGAAAGAATTCAGGATTCAGTACAAATTGTAGGCAAATGATAACAGCTTGAAAACAATGAACAGGGCTACAATCTAATAAGGGTGCATGTAGTTTTCTTTTGAAACATACTTTTTCTCCCTCCAGTTCCCCATTTCTGCTAAAGATAAATCATAGTAGGACCAATTTATTTGCAAAATAAGTTTTAGTCTTACTATACTCAGACAAATTATTTGCATAAAATGTAACAGTGATAGCGGTCGGCCATATAGGCTCTTTTAAAGTTGGCTTTGTTAGAGCCTTTTCGTAACAAATCTCAGATTAGACTCTCAAGGGTAGGAAGCCAAGCTAAGGACTCCCCATCAGACTGTGTCTGTGATACCTGTGTGCACTGGGGAATTGCTCTTTTCCTGAGATCTCCCAAATATCTCAAGGTTTTTGGGCCTGTGGGAAAGCGACATACTTTACTTACTACAAGGTCAAAAACCCTGTGGAGGAACCGCGTAGACGAGGTACCAGGACGGTCTTTTTCCAAGTCTATTGGCTTTATAAAGTCAATATCAATTCCTCAAAGCAGTCCTGTCACATTTGAAAATATGACATTCCATTTAAACTTTGGTAAAATAACCAGGGTCTCCCATGTGTCCTGTTACGAAAGAAAACAGGTTCTTTTTGAACTTATGCAAATAACTATATTGCTATAAGATAAGAATACTCACAAATAGTTTCTCAATTCTGGAGAAATCAGGTAAATATATATATTTTTTTCTCTTGTTGAGACAGAGTCTCACTCTCTTGCCTAGGCTGGAGTGCCGTGGCATCAGCCTAGCTCACAGCAACCTCAGACTCCTGGGCTCAAGCGATCCTCCTGCCTCAGCCTCCCGAGTAGCTGGGA